AAAGCGCCTGGAATATTATAGGTGCTTATTTACTTAAAAGAACCTGAATAATAATGAATGCTTAAAGCAAGAGTCTGAATTCCTCCAAAGTACTCACTGGTGGATCGTTTTGTATTTCGCTTTTTCTTGAAGGCAAAAGTGCGGATAAAATTGGATTTAAAAGTAAAAGTCACCTTGTCAGTCTACTCTGCTCTTGATTCTCTGGGCGCTCTCTTTTGGAAACGCAGTAGAAGTTTGATTGCCTTTTGGGGGGGAAAAACCCGGGTTTGGTAGGTATTGAGCAAACAAACGACGTGGAAAATCATGTGACAAACTTGATCCCGCACAATCACGGTTTCACGAAATGAAACAGCTTGGTTTCCCCCGCTACAAGTTTTATTCTAGCAGTTAAAGGCTGCTAGAGTCTAGAAGCAGCCTCTAAGTTCTCCATGGGCAGTGGAAGGATGGGGAATCAGAAATGAAATTCCCCCTTTCATCCTAATACACATCTTTTCAATTTTTGTAATTGCCAGTCTCTGCCATAATGAGATCCTTTGAAATTCAAAAGACACGTTTTAATGTTACATCTTTATCTTTGGGGGAAACCTAGTTTTCCACCACTGCTACATATCCTGTTAACAATCAGAGCCCAAGACCCTGAAAAGAGACCTACTGCACAATTTCTGCTGAATGCACTTCTTAGTTCATATAATGCTAGGGCCTTTTGATGTGCTACAATGCGCGTTACGCCCAAAGATTGTCTCTTTGGACAGATCTACAACGCTTGGCTTAATGTTTGGAAGTTAAATGGACAACAAGGATGTTGAAACTCCCACGCTTTAGCCACTGCAGACACTTGCTACATTTTCCTGTTAGTTTCCATAAGTGAAACAGACATGGTGGAGTGAAGGAGGCTGGGGGGCGGGGAAGGAACATTTTTCTCTTTTATTTCCCCTTTTTACTTTTTGTCAGCCTTAAAATAAGAGCTATTTGGGAAGAGTATAGGTAGCTTGTATCTTCAAGTCCCTGGCTATGTTGCTACTCCATGAAATCAAAATTTATGATTATTCAAATGTTGGGGACTGTGAAAAGAGAGGAAGAAAGAGAGAAAATTAATATTGCAGCTGTTCTTCTGATTAATGAGAGATAATTGCTCATGAAAAGTCACCCCTGTGGCATTTTGTTGTCTCCTGGATCTTTGTTCTTTTCCACTATTATTGAGGACTTTCTTGAAGACTAAGCGGTTCTTTTCAATTTTTGGTATTCAGAAAGTGTTGCTTGGTTACAGATAATGGAGAAATCTCGGGCTATATTGGGTAAGATGTGCCACAGACAGCAATATCACAATGCCACTTTCAGAAAAGGATGGATACAAGTTAACGATGCGCTTTCAATAAAACATTAATAGACTTGTTCACGCTTTTATAATGACCTCATTAATGGGAGCTGGGGGCAAGTCCTGTCTTCTGCTTATGTTCACGTAACAAAACCCAGCTTTGAGATCATTTGCAAACTAATATGAAACCAATGTTAGATTAGCAGATAAATGTGATTATAACGCACGAGTCATTATGTTCCATTTGGTTTGCAAGGGCTTCTTTTGCCATTAAAATGATCAAAACTGGTGTTTGTTCTTCCCACAACACCCCATTCACTGGAGAGCAATTTGGTCACTGGCTGTTTGTAAACTGGCTATTCTGCAGTTTTAGTTATATAGTTATGTCTGGATGCCGCCTTCCTTGCACAGCCAAATCCGCCAGTGAAATGAGTGGGGAAGTGTGCCATGGGGAACGAAAGCAAACTATTTCCCTAGCCTGAATTTTTGGGGTGGGGGAGACTTCACTTTTGTCATTTAAGCCGCGAATCTCTTATAAATAAAGGTGTCAGAGGCATCTGGAGGAAAGGGAAAATGAGGGCAGCTAGCCTACAAGTTGCAATCTGGGGGGAGCAGAGCTGCTGTTCTTTTTGAACTGCTCTAATTTAAAAGGGGGGCAATTTCGTTACATTCTCATTTGTTACACTGTCTTGAACTAAAGGCAGACAAAGCTATACTCTGTCACCCCGAGCAGAATGAAGGGAATCAAAGGATTTTCCCTTAAAAGGACTAATTTTCTCCTTGAATTATGAAAGTAATGGCTAGGTAACAGCCTGTGCTCTGTACCCAACTGCTTAATACCTTCTAAATCCTTCCACGTGGCTCGACTAGTCGTGGCAATTAGAGCTCATTATAGGCTCATAAGAGCTCTCATTTTGGGGATTACTTAATGGACAATGAAATTTTATCGGACAGAATTATTGAAAAATAAAATTGTAACGAGGTCGATGTGATGTGGGCGCACGCCTTCCATCATTCCGCCTGGATTGGAATATCTTCGCCTTCGGATCGCTGTTTTCTTTCTCTTCTTATCACTGCACTTGGTTTATTATAACAATTACAGATTAAAACCGTGATCTGATTCTTACTCTGTCTGACTTTTCTTAAATAAGGCCATTTCCCCCCAGATCCGCTCTATCTCAGCAGATACAGCTTGTCCCACTTCAGAGAGCGGGTTATTTCCTTCAGAGCAGCTTCTTGTAAACACAGATGACTCTAAACCTCTCTGCCCATTGCAGTAAAAGCTATATCACACAGGGAGATCTGGAAAGAATCACATAATTGGTCATTCTTATAATAATCATATGTGTGTACTACATACATATGGTGTAAAGTCCAAATGCCAAAGAACTTGCGAAGCATACGTGCTCTCTGTTTATCTCAGATAATGTATAACTGGTTTACTACTTTTTAGCTACCAAAGACATTATTAGGCCTACGTAGCCTGTGGATCGTATCTGTTAGCTTGTCTTTAATCAGTATCAGAGCAACAGACAGGATCAAAGAATCAAAAATTCCGGAAGGCAAGAGATAGCAATCGAGAGTGAAAAATTATTAAAGAGCGATTAATTAAAGGAAAATGCTCTGACGCAAAGCGCCATGTTAGTATGGTTAAAAACTATCGTGCCAAGGTTTTGAAGTAGTAAATGATTAGTTTGTAAAGGTGCTTTGCTAGCAATAGTTAAAGTTGAAGCTGGCCTGCCTTAAACTCTGCAGCTCCCTAATTGTTGTCACAAGATGTTGGATTAGCACATTTCTGGAATAGCTGTCTGTTTACACTCCAGAGACCCACAGTCCAGTAAACACTTTCTAATTGAATTCTAATCACATTCAAATAGCTCAATAACCAGTCTCAGCTGCAATTCATAAAACTTTAATTGCCATCCATAAATCCTGAGCTCCCCGAGTGTGGAGTGTCCCTACAACTCAATTATACCTTGCTTGCCAGAATTTCACTGGATGTCTTCAAGAAGACGAATTGACAATCCCTCCTTTCACACTCCTTAGAGAGCTATTGATTGTGAACTGAGATCTATTTCTACTTCTCGTCGTGCGTTAGTGGCACACCCTTGCACGACTGCAATGAAAATAAAGCCTGGGCTTCTCTCTGTTTGGTAATAGGGGAAGGGGCCTTTTAACTGAGGCTGAGATACGCCGGTACGTTACATTTCTAAACTCAGCGGCGAGGAATACCCCTTCGATAGAAATGCAAACAGATGAGCAAGCTTTGAAAACCACTTATGCTTGACTTTAAGATAAATTTAAACCGTGATCGCTGTTTGACTATGCCCATTGTCCAGGAACTTATAGGATCATTGTGTTTCTGCGCCCACTATGATATCCTTTCAACACAATTAGGATACAAATTTCTGTGCTAGCCTGGCTTATTGGGGCCAGAGTTTTCTGCTGTAAAACGCAATTGTCACTGCTGAGTACAAAGTCAAGTAGAATTTGATACAGTCATATTTAAGTGATGCTTCGGGTCAGCTAACCAAGAATGCAATATTAGTTCTGTTAACTATAAGTCCCCTTTTCAACTCCCCTAGAACAGGGAATTGGAAAACCGTGTAGTGTGCTGCAAATACCTTGGCTCTTCAATGACATCTGAAATGCTCAGGAGTCACCCACCATATTTCGCTGTTGATCCAATTTTACTTTGACTGACTGCTTCGGCAAACTTGGTGGAGATCAAAGAATCCCGCTCTGACATTTTCTCTTTTCATTAGGATTTTGAACTGAAGCTTTGAAATGATCATGGAAGTTAACTTGAAAGTCTTCCGTTTTGACAACGTCTTGGCTGAGAAGTGTCCAGATATTTTAAGGCTTTGTCTGTTGAACTAATTGCCAATTTGACAAGATTCACTCATAAAAAACAGCCCCTTACCCCTAGAGTAGCTCTGTCACGTACTTCACAGAAAATATAAGGGCGACTACACTCTTGGAAAAGCAAATGGGATTTGCTAGGTGTAACTCGACATAGTGAGAGAGACGATCACCCAGAAGTTATAACTACTTAGATGCTACATAGTAAATTAAAAGAAAATCAACCCGATCCTGCTTATTTCATCACGTGCCACTGGTTTCCCCCGACTCAGGAAATGGTGTATTATTAGTATGAACGATGTGACAGGAGAATCCCTTGAGGTTTATTTTTAAACCTAGTCAAAGACGTGCATTTCTTTACCGGGTAATGTGTTAGAAAGTGCAACGTGGGATGTGCCTGAATCACAAACAGGGCAGCTGCCCCCTCCGTTGCTCCCCCGTTCCTATCATTTATCTGGAGAGGAGGAGAACTGAAGTCATGGTGAAATTAACAAAACACACACACTTTGGAAAGTCTCCCCCCCCCCCGCCCCCCTTGTTTTGTTCTAGCTCGGGCAGCCTATCCCGAGGGTTTGGAGGAGAAGCCAAGAGGGTTTAGATCTGCATCTCTTTCAGGAATCACGTGTTAAATAGTTGATATAAAACCCCGGAGCAGGGGATCCAGGCGGGGGACTTGAAGACCAGCCCTCTCCAGGGACCCTTTTGTTCAACTCTCAGACATAAGCACCTTCTCGCTAGCCAAGTGCTTCAGTGGCAACTTCCCCGCCTTGGCAAAGGAGAAAGACCCGGGAGAGCCAGCCCCGACCTGCAGCAGCCCTTCGAAATGTCCCGATCCTTCTATGTCGACTCTTTAATCATCAAAGACTCCTCGAGGCCAGCTCCTTCCCTGCCTGAGCACCCTCATGGACAGGATTTCCTCATCCCCCTCAGCATGCCTTCCCCCCTGGTCATGTCGGTGTCGGGCCCCGGCTGCCCGTCCCGCAAGAGCGGCACCTTCTGCGTGTGCCCGCTGTGTGTCACTTCGCACTTGCACTCGTCCCGGGGGGGCGGCAGCGGGGCCATCCCCCTGCTCAAGAGCCAGTTCCCTCCCGGCGGAGATGCCCAGTACTGCCCCAGGATGAGCCATGCCCAGCACCAGCAGCAGCAGAGCTCGGTACCAGCCACCGCCGCCGCCGCCCTGGGCCACCCGGCGCATCACTCACCTGTCTGCACCGCCACCACCTACAGCGTTAGCGACCCCAGGAGATTCCATTGCCTCAGCATGGGTAGGAGTCACTGGCCCGGGGGTGTCATCCCACCTCGCTGGGGTGCACTTCACTCCGCAGCGAGCGCGTAAGGGGGTGAGCGGGGATTTTGGAGGGAGGGCGGATGCCCAAGCCCTACAGGTGGGGATAGACTAGAGAGGGATCGTTCATTCCCGGCAGGGATCGGGATGAACTCCAGGGGGAAAGAGCAGGTGTGTGTTCGCTTCCACTAGTGTTTGTCGAGCGGTTCTGATGTCGCAGGCAAAGAGGAGGCGGGTTTCCAGGGCTGGCGTTAGCGAGCAGGTAATGTGAGGCTCTCTGTCCACACACACCTAAAGAGACGCTCACCGAGGGGTTGCGTCTTGCTGCTGCTGTAAGAGAGGGGAGGGGGGGGGGGGGGGGGGGGAGATACGTGTTTGGGAAAGGGCGATAGGGACAGATTAGTCTGAATGCTTTTCTCGCCATTTAGCCCTTGTGTCTCTCCTGTCCAGGAGGATCCGATACTAGTCACATTCCAAACGGCAAGAGGATGCGGACCGCTTTCACCAGCACGCAGCTTTTGGAGCTAGAGAGGGAGTTTTCTTCCAACATGTACCTGTCCCGCCTGAGGAGAATCGAGATCGCTACCTACCTGAACCTGTCCGAGAAGCAAGTGAAAATCTGGTTCCAGAATCGAAGGGTGAAACACAAGAAAGAAGGCAAGGGAACCCAGAGAAACACTCACGGGGGCTGCAAGTGCACTGGCAACCCGGGGCATTACCCCAGGTCAGAAGACGAAGAGTCTTTATCCCCATCATCTGCGAACGAGGACAAAGAGATCTCCCCTTTATAAAGTGCTAACAAACCCGCCGATTTCCTTCCCAAGCTGGGGCGCCTTCGATCCTCTGAACTAGCTGCTTCCACTCTAGGGTTGCAAGCCTGAGCTAAACGGGGAAGCATGAGTGACTGCAACTGCATACACCTGACCGAGCTGGGACCATTCTAAGGAACACACAGACAAAGGAAATAGTTCTTGATGGCTCTGTCCGCCAATAAGGTTTATTTTAATCGATTCACAGGTTAGATATTTTGAATGTACAGGCTTTAGGGTTGAGCGTTCAACTAAAACACTATATAACACAAGGAGCAATGTTGCTCTTTTTAAAAAAAGTTAACGTGGTCCTGGATTTCCTATGGGCATGGCAGTTTTCCTCCCTTCACTCCCCTCAATACAGTTTAAGAAAATCCCATTTCATGACTTTACTGAAAGTTCCGACGTCGAGAAGAATTTAGAGAATTAAAAGGAAAAATAGGTCTAACTGCATGAGAATCTTCTGTACAGAGTTTTAAAAATTACAATCGTTCGGAGGTTCGTTCGTATGTGAATAGTTTTATATAAGATTTATATTTATATTTATTTAAATGAGGCCAGGTCAGACAAGAATTTTAATTTTTTTTAAAGTGCCAGCTTAGTTCAAACAATGATGGTGTAATTAATGGGGCAAACATGTTTTTTTAATCCTTTGTACACTAATTGAATTAGTATGTTTCAGAAATATATAAACCAATACAAATAAATGCCATCCGCTACTAACCTGAATAACTTTGTTTCCTACTACACCGTGCTCTTGGTTTTAAACAAATAACCCTATTTCAGCATGAGAGAGGGCCAATGAAGCAAAGTTTCTAACCATGGCACTATAAATAGCTTCTGGTTACTTTATAGCCGTGGACAATGGGAGTTCTTAGAGCTTCTGACAGCTTGTATTTGTCTGTTTTATACACATCATCCAGCATAGCGGCATTTCTTGAAGCTCGTTACTATTGATTGGTGTTACTGAAAGTGCAGCTACAAAATCCCAGCCCCGTCAGCAAAGAAAATAGCTCGCCAAAGTAAAGACACACTCTCTGGGATTGCCTAGGGGAGTGTGGCGACCCCATTGAGGGCCCGATCCTGCAGGCACTGTAATCAGTGGCAGAACTGAACTTGAGCATGCCGATCCCCGTGGGCCTTTCAAGAGGAGTGTGGGGCGCGCAAGGTACACTAAGCCAGGCTTTGCCCCTCGTTGGTTTAAGAAATCTTTGTGCCCGTGCAGGGCTGGGTGACTCGAATCGTTGGAGTTTAAAATCCTGAAGTTTGGCAGAAAGAACGAAGGAACGTTTAGGCCAGAAGTGCAAGCCCCGGTGTGACCAACAGTCCCCCCTGCGCAGCGGGAGACGCCTGCTGGCTTTGCCCGGGCCAGTCCCATTGAACTCAGGCCTCTGCCGGGCAAAGCGACTGGGAGTTGGCCCGCTAAGAATAAGCGCAGGCGATAGCAGCCACTGTCAGACTGGGCGCAGTGTGAAGTTCTGAGCTGCTTGCAAGGGCAGCTAGGTATGGTGCCTACGGGCCGATCCTGCCAGCCCTTACTCAGGTGAGTAATCCTGACCCACGGACAACTCTCTCCGAGTGAGACCTACTCAAGGGTTGGAGGATAGGGCCCTATAGTTTATTTATAGCCCATTTGCACAGCCTGACTGAAGAGAGTAAAGGCCGGAGGGCTGGTCCTGGGTGTTTTGCCACTGATTTCAATGGGATGAAGCGCCAAGTCACTCCTTGGCGAATATTCCTCATACCAGGATTGCCATCTATGAACCTACCTCTCTTTCCTGGGGCAGCTTTGGGATAAAGCCTCACCCAGAGACACCTACCGTTATTCGGTACTAGCACGTTGCCTAGGATTAGATGTGTCCATTTTACCTGCTGAATTCTTTTCTAACAACATTTTTTGCCCTTTGTTGCAATCTCTTGCTATCATTTCCATCTCTTCCCAGAGGAGATTTTTAACCACAGCCTCCAGTTGATTGCAAAAACCATTAGAAAAATAGTTGTCTCCTGCACACTTTATTATTATTTTTTTGTGCATCCTTTCTCTTTAACAAAAAACCCTGCAGACTGGGCATAGATGTTGGTCTCTTCTTTCAAGTGCCTGCGCCACTTTTAATCACAAGATGGCTAATAAGGTTCCCTACTGTTTGCACAGCAAAAGTGAATAACCTAAACACACTGTACAGTACCAGTGAATGTCCTGGTGCATTAAAGCAAATGCAGTCCTGAACAATGACGTTTCATTGTTGCTTCAAGCAAAGCACAAGTACAAATGGTGGTCCTCAGAAGATGCTCTCTGATAAAAAGGTAATTAGGGGAATAAACAAGTAACAGGTTGACTATGCCTATTTATTAATATTGTGCTTTATCATTTGTGTAGGGCCTGATTCTGCAAGGTATTTAGCACTCCCAACTCCCACTGAGTCAACGCACTTGGCCACTCCCCTCTCCCGTCCCCCATTTCCTCCATCAAGAATCAAGAATAACTGCATTACAGTCAATGAGGTTACACTGGGGTGAAGCTGGTGTGAGGGGAGAATCAGATCAGCAAGCTCAATAACTGGCAGGGTCAGGGGCATAGGGCCGGATTCACCACTGCCTCACACCAGTTTCATGCTGGTGTAATTCCACTGAAGTACTGAATCAGGCTCTCAATGCTGACAGCATGCACTGTATAATACACAAAGATTAGGACAGTCTGCCCCAAAGGGTTATAGAAATAGCCACAGTTTACCAGAGAATCTATGAATCTATGAATCTATGATCCAATGGCTGAAAGTTGAAGCTAGACAAATTCAGCCTCGGAATGAAGCATGTATTTTTAACAGTGAGAGCCACTGGAATGATTTACTAAGGGTGGTGTGGGATTCTTCACAACTGACCAGCTTCAAATCAAGATTGGATGTTTTCCTAAAAGCTCTGCTCTAGACATTACTTTGGGGAAAGTTCTATGGCCTGTGTTATACAGGAGGTCAGACTAGATGATCACAATGGTCCCTTCTGGCCTGGGAATCTGCGAATCTGCAGCATGCAGAGGAATATACTGGTAGTTGGAGACTATTGAGAGTATTTTGTTTGGCTGCTTTTGTTTATTCACCCATTCCATAGTTACAACAAACTCACTTCATATCCCATCAGAAATAGGTTTTGGGGTGGGATTGGAATGATCAGGGAGTTTCAATTTGGCAAACTGGGATTGGGAAATCACTCCACAGAGCCGCATGTAAAATTAATGGATAGGGGAAGCAAACTGAGCAGAGCATGTAGGGTGGTGTCACTGGCAGAGCAGGCTTGGGGAGAAGAAATATGGATTTTTCCCATAATGCTCTGATTGTAAAAAGATCTGATATGTTAGTTAACTGATCTTTCTGTTAAGCCAAAGCAAGAATAGTAGAGAGCTCTCAAGATAAGGGTCCTGGACAGGTATCAGTAGATCAGAAATACTGTGCCTATCTGGAATAAATTGCCTAGGGAGGTTGTGGAATCTCCATCTCTGGAGATATTTAAGAGTAGGTTAGATAAATGTCTATCAGGGATGGTCTAGACAGTATTTGGTCCTGCCATGCGGGCAGGGGACTGGACTCGATGATCTCTCAACGTCCCTTCCAGTCCTAGAATCTATGAATCTATGAATCTTATACTGGTACAGGAAGTGAGGGGTTCCAGCATCCTGGCAAGGTGGGAAGAGGACTTTGAAAGAGGGAGCCTGCTATGGAAGAGGTAGAGAACTACTGATATATATCAATGGTATATTAGAAATGTTTTCCAACTGCATTCCAGAGTATGCAATGAAACACAGGGGCACCTACTTTGTCTAACACATGTATATTCAAAGATGATGAAATGCCTAGAGGAAATGTTACTTTCAGCTTGCACAGAACTGTAGTTGTCATAACATTCATGAAAGGAGAAAACCAAACCAAAATGAGTCTCATTATTATTCCCTAAAAATGATCACATTTCTTCAACTCTGGTACAGGCAAAGGTTTTAGCTTTGTGGGTCCCATTCTGATTCAGCTGAAGTGACTGGGAGTTTATTTTGCCTGCAAGATATGGCCCTTTTTGTGTGTAAATTCTTTGGGCTAGATCGTTCCCTTTTAAAGAGGAAACTCCTTGGAGGGAGGAAGTAATTCACCGGAGGCACCTTCAGGGAATATCCAGGTAATTGTCCCCTCAGACAGGAGGCATTTTGGGGGCGATGAGGGGCCAAAGGCATGGCTCTTCAACCCAGGGAATCCTAAGGATCCAACATGAGGTAGGGAAATGCAAGTCTTGTGGAGCTGATGCCTCCTCATGGTGAGCTGTCCCATCCCTTCTGTGTTGCCTTCCTGGCCAGCATGGAGTAGCAACTGAGAGGACCCAACTGGGACGAATTCAAATTCAAGAAGCATTCATTTACACCACAACACCTCTGGGACTGACAGGGGAGGATACCAGAGAGAAGCTGGTCCCTTGTTTCACCCCACCTGCCTCTGGCCTGCTCCCAAAATCCCACAGAGACTTTTCTTACACAGGTGTTTTCATGTAGTACTGGGGGGAGGAAGTGATGCCATAGATGTGGGACACCCCCCCCTTTCGCACCCACTAGGAGAGTTCCACCTAAGTCCACCAAGGTGCCTTCCACTCACATAAGAGGAGGAGTCAAGCAGGACCTTAATATCTTCAGACAGTGAAACCAAAGAGAATTGTGGCATTGTGCCATGTGTATTCTGCTTCGCAGAGCTGAAGTTTCACAGATGCTTTTTCTTTTACACGTAAACGTATTTCCTTGGACAGAATTGACCTCTTTCAGTATAAATGAATGGGAAGAAGCGACTCAATGCCCTCCTCCTCTGGTATTTATCATCACAAGAGAAATATATGAAGTGATGTCTTCTCTAGAGTTGTCCATCATTTCTTGGAAAGTGGCATTTGTTATAGTTAGACTTACTAGTCAATATTGTACAATGCTTTGAAGATGTAGCAGGCTATAATGGCTACATATT